GTCCGTACAGGTGATAAGATTATTTATAACCGTTCATGGCAAAGTCTGGATCCTGTGTTAAGTAGAATTTGTCCTAACTCAGGGTACTTAGGAGATTGTCAAACATGATTTCTTTATGTTACTGGTAGAACGAGGTATGTCTGGAGAAATATCTTCCATAGTACAAACGCTACTTGGACGATATTTTGGTAATTTGTTCATCAAAGCATCAGATGGAGTTGGTAACGTAACTAAATTCTGCGCATACCAATTTGCGGGTCCCCTGTGAGGTACAGTAGCAAAATTGCCTCCCGTACTTGGATTTACCTATTAGCCGCAGAGAAACGGGCAGATTAAGAGGTCTGCCTACATTAAATCAACCTGGTCCGGGCAGTGTCTGCATTTCCCTAGCTTCACACCAATGCGATACAAGCGGACGCTCGTGAGAACCCTGATTAGCCGTGCCAGACGAATCTGCTCTGCTGATTGCCTGGCTGACAAACTGCAGTTGATTACCAACACGCTCATTGAAAACGTCTTTTCTTGAAGGTCCATCCAGAAACATAATCAAGTGCGACCAAGGGAGCTAATGCACACGGTACCCAAGAAGCCTGTAGTCATTGAATTGTCATTCAGAGTTAACTTCTCCTCCTTGAGGACCACAAGGCGTCTGATCTGTGCCATGCAGACAACGATATGCCGTCAAGATCGTTGTCATTAATAAACCCCAACAACTGCCAATTCCTTCTGTAAACGAAGCTCAGCCTATCGGGGCCAAATCGCATTTCATTTACCAATTCATATGTGAGTGTGACGCCAGTTGCATAGACAGGACCGATACAATATTGAGTTCCCGAATGAAGGAGCATGTACCTGAGTGGGTTTAACTTTCGACCACGCAGGAATTGGCTAGACTCAAGCTACTTGCCTGCATAAGCCACCAGCCTCTTCGATCGACGGACACTTATTGACTACAGATCACCAAGTCGAGGTCAGTTGGCGTTCACAATCCTACAGCACACCAATTCTCGTCTCCCCGTTTTGCAAAGGCAATTGCAGTTTACTGGATTAAGCCGCTGCTTTATGTTCAGAGTTATCGGCCAGCGTTAGACTGCCCCGAGGATAGGAGTGATAACCCTGTCTCACTTATCGTATGTTGGTCTGTTTGTTTATTTGCTGAGGCTGATGTTGCATTCATGATACTACTTCACTGCAGTTGAGCTAAACCAACATACGCTTAAACTAGGTCTTTTAATGTGGAGGAAATTCAATCCATTTTATTTGGCTTGTTCTGAGTACCTGATAATCTTCTCCTAACTTGCACACGTCGCTCATGCTAATTGTGGTAAACTTGAGTAACTTTATCACGTGGTATTTCGTAACTAACTTTCGAACATTTTGTACTTAGCGCCGACCCGCTTATAACCAATTTACTCCATATGCTCATTTAGCGAGTAATTTTATCGTCACATACGTTTGCTTTATTCGATCTCTTTCTTTATATCGGCATTTCGAATGATGGCTGTTGTTTGACATCCCAGGTGTGGCTGCGCTTGATGTGCATGTTGACAAGATGCCTACCTGTCTATTACCCACTACCTCGTCCATACTGGCTTTAGGAGACAGTTGGTCGTTGCTGCAGGGAACGGGGTGCACGTCCTCGTGACCATGTTAGGCTCGAGGGGTGGTTCCATGCACACAGTGTGGAGCGGACTAGGGTCTAGCCACCTCCTTGTGTGCGTTTGATTCCCCAAATACAACGTGCTTGTGTTTGCCTGTGAAGGATCGTGCGTCGGATACGTCGATAAAATGTGGTTCCCATCCGAATGCCTCCAGGTCTTATTCCTTCGGGTTTACACTAGATATGTGGTATATGGATGGAACTGTGGGTGGTGCAGCGTAAGCCATCAATGGTCCCTCTGTAGGTGCAGTCGTCCTGTGACTGGCCACAGTGACTGGCAAATCAGAAACCGGAGGCCGCCAACCATATTTGCTCGCTCCATTCACTGAATAAATACTATTGAGATTTATTGTTAAAGGCACTGATGAGACAATAAGAAATGCGTGCATTTGCCAGTCTTTGTCTTCTTACTGCGCTTTTCAAATATGATCCAGTCAGTGAGATGGATGCAACGAGTAGGCTTGTCAGTCACTCGTATTTTGGTTACTATTTTAATATTCATGTTACATAGTGCAGTATTGTGGTTGCAGCCCATTAGTGGGCTGTCAATAGTGACCAGCCATGACGGAATACCCATGGTGAATATCAGATCTAATGTGTTGACTGTTCTTGTATGTTGATTAACTTGTTGTGTCCAACCATTGATCTGAATGCTATGGACTATTCCCATGAGGATCCCTGAGACTTTAAGTGTGCGGTAAGTTTAAACCTCCACATGCAAACTTATATTTGTAGGAAAAATTTGAGGTAGCGTTGATAGCATCAACTAGTTGTTCAGTATGGTGATTGGTAGCGCTACGGGATCTAAAGATGCAACCCAGTAGTAGGTCATTGGAAGGGATTGCTAAGCACAACGTATCTTCTAGCTCATTGAAATCCAGAAGATCAACAGGTATCACGGTGATTTGATTGCAAACGTGGATAGCCCATCCTCCTCCACGTTTTGCTCAGACGATCTTTTCGAAACAGGTGGTAGCCAATAACTTGCAACAGAGAGTCACTTTTTCTGAGTTGCATAATGTTTCAGTGATGAAAACAAAATGGGGAGTTTAAAGACAGATGAAAGTTGTAAGAAGATGCAATTTAGATAGTAGGGAAGGAATGTTTATAACAGCGGAATCTAGAGAACATACGGAAAGTGGTGGTGCGAGGAGGGTTAAGACGGACTGTTTGCTAGCATTCTGATTGGTGGTGTGCCACAATGTGGTATTAGTGATTTGCCGATCTCTAGGCTGTATTGGCTCTAAGGAAAATTTTCTAGTACAGAGATCATCTGTTGATTCATGGGGCCTAGTGGTGGAAATTTCAATGGTGGGGACAATGTTGGGGGATATGGTATCCTAATAATGGATTTTATGAAGTTTTTCATTACAGTGAATGACAGCGGGGCATAGACCAGTTGTTGCGGAGCAGCTGTGGGATGCTATTGTGCAGAGTAGGCAGTGCCCAAGGAATTTCTTAATTTCCGTCACTGGCTACAGGTCCATTTGTCTTAGTGTGCTGCCAATTTGGGTTCGGAGACAGCTGTGAGATGTGAGGTTGTTCAGCTTAGTTTCTACCATTGATCCTACAGCCAGGTTTAGTGACATTATTTGACTCATGAAATCGTTTACTTCGGAAATGATTTAGTGAGTCATATCGAGGCTCTGGAATATTTTGTAGCATAGATGTTGGGCGTTGGACGTTATCGTGTCGTGTTGATGGAGAGCCATTCCATGGTTTAGAGTGATCACTTTGATTGGAGGAGGTGCATTTATATTTAAACTGCCTGTTGAATGTTTCCTTGTTCCTCACAGCCTTAATTGAAAAGTTCGCTCTATGGTTCTGCTCTGTAGGGGATACAGGTGCAGTACAAACAGCATTTTCCTACATGCGTTACTCGTAGATGGAGCACTCGATATAGAGTTGGTTTCGGCTCTTATCTCGGTGAGATTTAGTTCCTGGGGCTGCTTCATTTTACTCGGCGATTTAGTATGTGCAGTGCTGTTCAGTGTAGAACCGCAACCACTTGCGCAATGTATTGGTATTCTTTTCTTGTTTGCTTATTTCCAATTTCGCCTCTACCGACCTCTTAATGAATGGTGTACAGTAAAGTGCTCAACAATCGTCATCCCTTTATGCAATAATAGAAAAGTTTTGATCATCGTCGTCTTTTATTGCCGTGATAGCAAATGTCTGATCATCCACGATCCCATGGTTCGCTTCTGCATGTTATCCACTGATTGAAGTCACTGTTCTCAGTGGGTGGGCATAGCTTGGTTGGGGTGGAAAACGAACGCTCACAATATCAGGAAAGAGAAGGCTGTATGCAAATGATGCAGGAGTGCACAGATGCCCGTGATTTAATAACTGATTTACGACCCGTACGACGCAGGTGCCATGCATCGTAGGTGTGAAAGAACGCAAACGCATAGATTTGTTTCACTACGGTTACCATGCCATGCAATAAAATGTACCCGCATGCACTGAAAGACTTTTGTTCTTTTCGGTGGGACACTGCGTGTGTCGTGCAGTACGTGTGAACAGCAGTAATTGGATGACGATCAACAGACTGTTTTGTTACGGTAAGAAGTTAGTCAAGGTTTGAGGAAATGAAAGAAATTCAAAAGTATTCAGACTGATCCACGGCATTCGCTAAAATGGTCAGAATGATAGGGATGCGCTAAACATAAATCGTGCGAATACGGAACCGGACTAATATCCAGCTGGTCGAAGAGAGCCAGTAATTAAAACACTGAATTGCTCGACGGTTACCGTGCCACTTTGCACGGTTCCAGTAGAGACATATGAACAATGGCTCCATCCAGAAACAGAGATTAATGACTAACGGCCTCGTAATTATATCAGCAAATTCGGTGGGGTGCACTTGTGTTGGCAGCTAGAAACCAATTGTAAGTTCGCTTCGCGAAGTTAAAATTCCTCTCCACCAGATGCTGTCCAAATGACGGAACTGATCAAGATTCACTACAGAGTCAATCGTGTGTTAAATTAGGATTCTATAAAGGAATGTAAACAGACTAAGAGGGCTGTAAACTACCTAGCTCCGGTGATTGGATATGAAGGATAAACTAGTTTGATTGTCTCCGGTTGGCTGTAAGTAAAAGGGGCCGGCTTCAAGTGGAAGCAACAAAAGACCATTGTAGAAATATCCCAGCAGTCGATGCAGTTGTATGAATATATGAAAGTGACATCCTGCTAAATGGTAATGGTAAGAATACTGATATCATCCCGATGCCACGCTGGAAAGAATCCAAGAGTAACTAAAACCAACTATTGGCCGTTATCTAATTTGGTCACAGAAACCCTAAGTAATTGTTGATTTTTCTTTTTTCACTTACAGCACGTTTCACTGTCGGTGTGCCGGATGTCATCAGGTTGTGAGCAGATGCGACTTGGTGTACCGAGTTCGTTCTACAGCATTTCACATGGCCTGTCTACGATGTGCTGTCTGTGAACGTCTGTTGCAACCGGGGGAGGAAATCACACTTCAGAATGACCAGATTTCTTGTGCAACACACACCCGATTGCTCGGTTTGGACGATTACATTATGTCTGTTGATGGCAAGAATAGATTATCTCCTCCTGTGAGGACTCTCCCCACCGCTACTGGCGCATTTGCAGGGGCAGCGACGCCTAGTGGATGTCGAACAATGGCGAATGAATGCCAAACTTGTACCACCCCGGCAAGTACCGAGATGAAGAAGATGAAAGGAGGGCCCCACCGATTAGTTGCTTTGCGCTGTCGCACAGTGGTAAAGTCTTGCAATGCCTCCAAGTCGGAAAACTTACAACTCGTCGGAGCATTGGACACAGAAAAATTTGAAAGGAGAACAGTGGAACCAGTGCGTTTGTCGCTTAATCCTCCAATTGCTGATTCCAGGACTCCCCAGGTAGTCATGATTTCACGACAGGCCAAACATTGTGAAACTGAAGCCCTCGATAGCTTTTGCTTAAGTCCACACTGCAGTGCCAACACCCCGGGCAGCTCAACAGGGGAACTTGTTCGTGATACAGGTGAGCGAGCAGACGAACAGCATTTATCCTCTCGTGACATGATGCAGAACCAAATGCAGTGGTTTGCAACCTTTCCTACTTTACGGAACTTAGAGTTCACAATAATGCCCGTTGCTCAATTATCTGGAGAATATCTTTGGAGGGTGGGAAAATTCAGACGCCCAAAGAGAAAAAACTGGTTGGTTTTTCGTGTGTCACTGTTCGAATACTTCGAAGGGCAGGCAAATTTGCGTAAAGTTTGAAGTGAACCACATCGGTAAGCTAGACTGTTAGCTGCTAACAGCCAAGTTACGCAACAATGGTAGCAGTAGCAGTTGTCGTTGCTGTTGCTTTTGCTCCTTTTGTTTATGTTGTTGTTGTTGTTGTTGTTGCTGCTGCTGCTGCTGCTGCTGCTGCTGCTGCTGCTGCTGCTGCTGCTGCTGCTGCTGCTGCTGCTGCTGCTGCTGCTGCTGCTGCTGCTGCTGCTGCTGCTGCTGCTGCTGCTGCTGCTGCTGCTGCTGCTGCTGCTGCTGCTGCTGCTGCTGCTGCTGCTGCTGCTGCTGCTATCGCTGGAGTTAGGATGTCCATCGTTAAAGTATCGATTTAAAAGCGACTACCATACTAGAAAGGACGGGCGCTTTCTCATTTGTACAACGAGATACGGAGCTTTTTGATCCGTTATGTTGATATTTATATTAATCTGGCTTCCAACTCGTCGGCCAATACAATATCTATTGGTGTCATCCGCGGACTATCATCGCAGACGTAAATCTGCTGTAACAGCGCCAACGACTGCCTCGGTATACGTTGTTGTCAGTAGCACTGTATTGTTGCTTTTCAGCATATTTTTCTAACTTCAACGTAGCTTGGTAATGCTTCTATCACTTACGCACGAACTGAAAGCTTGACCCTCTGTACCCTGTATTTACTGGCCCTGAACACGGCTTGCTCAGCTGTATGTCTATCTAAAAACGGTAGCAGTACTAACAATGTTTAAACGCGATTTATGTCGTGAAGGTCGTGTTGTTCATGATATCGGAGGCTGAAACACGAGATGCTTAGCACCGTATGGCGATAGCAACAGAAACAGTTTTGGGTAGCCGAATCCACCTAAATAACCACTCATTTTGCTAGAATAATACGCGCCTCGGCAATAGGTCACTATTCACTAGGAGAAGATCGATGGGCAACAACGGTGTTGTTGAGCTTTTGACTCATATTTCTCTACTTTGAAAAACCACCAATAATTCTCTCTGCAATGTTGCTTTAACACCTCAGGCTGATGTTGGAAGCATTCCAGAAGCTTGTAGCTCCCTTGCAAGGGTCTCAAAGCGGAGGTCACATTTGATTGCCATGAATGCTTTTAGCTTAAAAATGCCAGTCTGTAAGAATTATTTGGCTCTAACTATTGTCCACTCAGCCAAGGAGCAATAGTTTTGGTTTAGAGAAAGTCAGTGCATCCAAAAATATGGTACTATCACTACTAGCTATAGGAGTTCAACGCATTAGTTGGTGCGCCATAAGCTGATGTGCCAATCGAAATATGCGTACATCTATGGCGCATCCGAAAGAGCATCGGCCACATAATTCCTTTTCCTGACTGCTGATCTACGAGAGGCTTAGCTATTTACGCCGCACCTGCAAGCACGTTAACAAGCATATTCACGAGGAGGTGGCGAGTTACCAAGTGACAACTTCAAATCATCCAATAAGTTGACATCAAATTTCCTAATGCTGGCAGTTAGCAAGCTCAGACGCATCCACGCGACAACATATTTCACCGTCAGGAGGTCCTGTCACTACATGTTTCTTCAAATGCTGCGCACATATGAACACACTGGGACTGACAATCGTGTCCGACGATGAGTAGTGGTCAACTGTGTCATGCTCAGGAGATAAGTTAGCATTCCAAAAGACACGAAAGTTAAAACTTGCGTCGCGAAGTTTGGGTATGATTAAGCCGACAGCAAACGGGGCCGAAAATGGCATGCCTTGTGAATCCGATAGCATGTATTGTTATCATTATTCTTAGTACTATTATTAGCAGAGTAGTAGTAGTAGTAGTAGTAGTAGTAGTAGTAGCAGCACCAAGCGGTAGTTTGTGAAAGTCGCACGCATAGGTTTTCTTCATCTACAATGATCCCGTCTGATGTCTTCTACGGCGTTGTCCATATTATTTACCAACTACGTCCTCCCGTGGTACGAGCAATTACTTTCCATTAAACCGGCGTATCTCGTCCAACGACACATGTGGTCTGGAGACTGCCATTATCGTGTCACTTCAAATGAAAGCGCCCCAGCGACTATGGTCGCTTCAGTGGCACTTAGTTGACGCGGCTGAAAACAGGCTCGTACGTCGCATTAAATGGCTATGGGAAACAGTGCCGGCTATCGCTTCCTATTCGGTGGCTTGTCATGCTGGGTCCTTTCAACGGTCAAGCAGACGAGCGGGACAGCTGACTTGCTAACACCGCTCAGGGTGGTCGCATGCAGAACCAGACTAATTCCGAATTGTCCACACACTGAATCAACGGAAGCTGTCAGTAGAATACGGTTGGATAACCATTCTTCATGTACTATGCAGTACCCCCCCCCCCAACAACTGCGCCTACGTGAGCACACACGCTCCTACATATGAACGAAGGGAGGCGAGTGTGGTGGTCTATTGCATGGCTAGTAACTCGTAGTCTTCGAGATATGACAATACGAATGCACACTTGCGCGCATCTCTCGTCTTTTCCGGGTTGACAGACTGATAACCAACACGTGATCTATGACTGACCTCTTTTGTCTGAGAGAAGCAGTCCGAAACTGCGCATTTTCGTCCAGCATTCCAGGTGGCCAATTCAACCCTCCCTGACTCCCCTACTAAACGATTGTTGGTAGTGGAGACCAGGTGGTCCAAATCGCTTCTGTACGGACATGTACAATATGTGGAATGCAGATACTAGTAAAATGGCCTTCCGTGAAGGTTGAGCAAGCGAAAAGGAACGGTTAACGGCTTATAATTTCGCGCGCTAACTTGAAATATCGGTTAAAATAATGGCACACTGGAGATTCTTAGGTCCATACTACTTAGAAGTATACACCCAGTGAATTGATAAGTACAAAACAGCCAGAGTAGTGTGCGCCCGAGCCAGAGCATCAGCACGCATTGCTCACATCCGGCCACCGGTTTCCACACGCAAGCAGTCTAGCTTTGATAATGTGTGTAGCATGAGGAACGACCACCAAATAATGCTGCATTCCATGGGATGGAAGAGTTAGCAGCTATCTTGTCTCTGAAATGTCTCTCTACCCACAGCGTGGACTATAATGCCGCGCTTTATTTGGCGCATTGAGAACAAGTGGAGGCACATTGTATATGATTTAAGCGTATATAATCTTTTCACTAACCCACCAGAATCCAGCAAACAGGCTGTGAGATACTTAGAATACTTTATAGTTCCTCATTCCCACTATAGCTGAGTTGACAAATACAGCAATAACAGTAACAGCATGTGCGTTTCACACAACCTGATGTCAAAATTCAAGCAAGCCTAGAGTGGATCTTGAGAACCATAGATCTATTGCTGGATATCCTTTGCCGATACCATCAATGTGACCTATGGGTATGAGTGGCGTCCATTCTGCGATTTGTTTTAAAGTATGAAGGAAGTATCCAGGATACACGATCAAAGGTGATCAATTGTTCATACTGATTCATCATAAAATTTTATCCCTAATATTTGGTGGTAAGACGCAATAATGAACGGATCAACTGTGATGGTATACATCAGTTGAAGTTGGGTTCAGACGATGCTTATTGCTAGGCCGAAGTAAACTCAGCATTTGCAAACACATTGGTACTAAGATGCTCATCCTACTAACCAATAAGTGAACGCCAACACGCCTCGTATTTCTGTTTTCACCACTGGTCGGTATCACATTCGCACACAAGTAGATGGAGTGCGGAGTATGTAAACGCCACAGGACACTTATGCTTTACCGGCATAAAAAGTAACAGTAACGTGTAGTCCCAGCTTCCTCCGACCTAAGTGTGGTATTCCTGTCTCCCTCCTTGCACATAGATCCCTGGCTGTGCTGCAAAGGATGGTGCGGTTGACGTACATTTTTAATAGTGCTGTTACGTGCGCTGCATTGCCGGTCACCGACCAAACAACATCGCTACCTAGTGCTACTGATTGTTCCATAATTCACGTCTGCCCGCTTGTCAGTGGATTTGCAGATTTATGTACCATAGATAAACAAAAGTGGAAATTCTAGCAGCGACTGTTAATACCATATCCCACTAATCTTGTTGATGCGAGTAATCGGTAATACCGAACTGTCAGCGCAAATTTTAATGGTGGGATTATTTTCATGGAAAATGCGTCATCCATCCATTTGCGGGTAATGGTGAAGTTGTCGTACCATAACAGAAGCGTGATGCAATCAACGCAAAAGCTAATCTGAGCTTTTACCGATTCACTTTCTATGGGCCTTCAAAGATTGTCCGTTTTTCTCGCACTCTCAGCTATGCTGAAGAAAAATGTCTCTAGTTAGTGTGTAGTGGATTGGTGATATATTATATGTAAGTCTCATGAACACGGATATTAGTCCGTAGTTAGTCCAAAATGCTGACTGCCGTGAGGAGAGACTGCAGAGTAGGTTTCTAGGGGCGCACAAACTGAGGACACGTTGGGTATAACACAATCTCTACACTAATTCTGTTACCAGTTTAACCCAGTTTTAACAAGTCAGGTGAAGAGAAACGGGTATCTAATTGGGGCCTGCACCAAGTAGTTGGCGGTTGACGTCATGATCAAACGGATATTGGGCTCCACGAGCAATGCCTGGCTCAGCGACTAGGTTTCTATTGTTTGATGCGAGCTTCGATTGGGGCACGCGATTTCAATCTGGACCATAATTAATCTGCCGTTAACCTCAGTCCTCCGGTCAGTGGAACTGGGCCCAAAGATAGAGGCTGCAACGACGCCTCACAGAATTGTTTAACAGCAATTCCAGATTGGAAGGGATCATGATTTGGTCGGCCGCTGGAAGCGAAGATTGCTTCATAGTGGACTGTCCTCCATTTTTGTCGTCCTGTGATTCAAAATGTTAATGGAGCTTATTCTAACATTACTTCGGTTAGACAAGTGTCCGTACACCTTTACAATGAATTACCATTCCTCAGTGTCAACGGGTTGGGTTATGGTGGATTCGCATGAGGATTGAACTGTGTTATGTCCACCTGTCTTCCAAACGATGCAAAACTGTGAAGCTAACTCTGTCACATAGTATGTCGAAGTGTATGCTGGATGTGTTTATAAGTTTATACGTCATTCATCTCTGAAGCCATAGTCGAGGTTCAGTTAACCCCAAATATATTCCAAGAATGAACCGCAGATCATGATCGGCACCCGATTGTGGCGGATGGAAAATGGAAAACACCGAGGTGTATGCTCTAGCCGACTTGCATAGTGTGTATCAATGAAGTATGTTAGGATCCCCCACCAGCGCTGTTTACAAAGCCAGGAAAGAAGGGATAAAATGATCAAGGGCGCATTCGTTACACAAGCCAATTTTTAAGACTAGCTGGAAGTCTGGATAGTAGTTACAACTACAGAGACGCAAATTACGGCCTGGTTTCCAGCTGGATCTGTTGAATTCTCATTCATATCATGGTCAAAATATAGGCTAGTCAGCGGAAACCAATTGTGGACAGCTTGACGATATGTGATATGTAATTGCGACAATTCATGGGTAAACGTGTGGGAACTATCGTTTCCACTGCCAACACAATGATCCAAATCTCTATACCTATAGCTTCGTCATTACCTTGTGCTTTCCCATCACCAGATGGGCGCCACGGCGCATTTTGCCTCATTTGAATATTAACAATCAGGGGCTAACGTGCGGTTGGTCATGGGCCCTATTTGAATGGATCCTCTCTCACTCATTCTCCAGAGTTGTTGTATCTGTGTTTTCGAGGTCATGATATGGGATAGTACGTCTGGTCGGGGTGCATAATGGACTGACATACCGTAGTGCGCACGCACAAGAGGCCACATCAAAGGCTTGCTTTGTCAAGTGATCAGGATACGCAGTTTGATTGGGATTTGACAAGGAACAAGGAATCCAGATAACTTGTAGACCATTGTGTTTTGTACAAACGGTTGATCTGTTTATCATTCGTTTGCAGTAATTATGCTATTAATGCCAGCCGGCCGGACTTGTTTCTGCATGAACTGTGCTTGTACCTTACATGTATATGAGGATGCTGCCATTTTGACAGATCAAACATACGTAGCCCGCCCGCCCGCCAAACGACGGGGTGGTGTAAGAAAAACATGACCTCGATAGCACCGTAAATAATCCAAATTCGCCTGTGCTGACAACGGTGATGGTGAACTTGGAAATCAAAAGGCGTAGTGGCTCAACGCACTTCGCCAAAACAAAATAGGCATCCACCTGTTTCCGGCAGCGGAGTCCCGTAATTTCCGATTCACAGCAGTCGTAACTCGCGACGTACCTGCATTAACCACGTAGTTTGCAGGTACGGAACGGAATAATCATTAGCCAATGCCGCTAGTTATTTTACCCGTATTTTCAAGGATTCTGCAAGTCTAGTTGACTTTCCTCGACACGGTGCTCTCCTGATTGTGGAGTCTAACGCAAAGTGGCCTTAATTTGTTTTGATTACTGGTGGACTTGCTAAAAGTGCAACGTTATACCGTATAATATGCTAAGTTGCAAGCAAATGAAATTGGTTGTAGCCCCTCAACTAGTGTGGCGATTAATTTGGCATTTAAAAATGCACACCTAACAATAGGTCTCGCTCACGTACGTCTTGATTTTTGTTGTGGTCAGGTGACTTCACTCAACCTCTTGTCCAAATTCTCTGGTACTTACAGATACCCCTCTCACAGCATGCAGCGAGTTGAGTCACGGTGATGCGAACAGCAGCATTCTTGGCTTGAGTAACTCAGTCTCTGGATTCACTGATCCAGGGCCAAACAGCAGTGACAATGATTTAGGGCCACTGAGGCTCGATCCTTGCTTGGCACACTCACTGGGAACTGCGCACAACTGTCAAATTGACGGGAGTCATACTGGAAGCAACAGCTCCAGCAGTGGAACTAGCATGACAGGAGGAGGTGGTGATGATCCACTACACAACACCCCCGCATCCCGCAGTCAAAACTTCAGATCTAACAAATTTGGTAGCTCCAAACGTTCAAAGGACCAAAAAACCACAAGAGTGAGTTATAAAGTGCTATTTATTAGGCAATGAAACCCTGCTTAACCACATGCTAACCTTGACCCTGGTGTTTTGCTACAGATAAGAACGGTACTCAACGAGAAGCAATTACATACACTGCGCACCTGCTACGCGGCAAACCCCAGGCCCGATGCTTTGATGAAGGAACAGCTAGTTGAGATGACCAGTCTCAGCCCCAGAGTGATTCGTGTATGGTTCCAGAACAAGCGATGCAAAGACAAGAAACGTCAAATTCTGCTCAAACAGATTGAACAGCACCAGCAAGTGAGCAACCGGGTTAAGCAGTGAGATTCTCTACCGTCTAACTTCCATGTGCATCCTCGAAAGCCACTAAGAAAACGCAGATCGAAGAACAGAGCCTAGCTACCTATTAGCTCACAGTAGCGAATCTACCAAAGCAATATTTTACACATAATGAACATTACTATCGGTCAAATACCAGATATTGGTATGTATTTATGTTGCTCTAAGTACGTTCTAGTTGTAGTCCTCGAGACTCGTATGTTTCTGCAAATTTCGAGTCGCTTGTGTAGCTGTTGTGAATTTAAGTTTGTGGGGCGTCCAATAGGTAGAGAGAACCGAAGTTTGGCTATATGGACACTTTAGGACATATACAGAGAATTGGATGATAATCGCCCACCGATGGAATTGTATCTTTCGATCAGAAACCACTTGAATGCGACCGCTTGGATATGAAACTTCCGAGTTACCTGCAGTCCAAACGGAGTCAAGGACAGTTGCACGGTAGTGATTTTCGCCATTCTATGCGTCACAGTCTACAAATACTGTGCATTAAGTTGACTTAAGTTAACTAGAAGTTTTGTACATGAATGAGTCTCTGATTGAACGTCTGGTCAGATGAACATACGCTCGACCAAACCAAATGTTGGTGTCTATGAAAAACTCATGTTCTTCTTGGGTAAATCAGTGCTGATCTTGTCAGATTTCTAAGCCTCCCGATGACTGTTAATGATGAAAATGGGCCTCCACTATCTCAGTTCGCCTTACGTAGCAAGTAGAATGGGCGGTTATGGCGTGACAGTGGTCGTAGTGTTTAGTTGATCACTTAATAAATGTGTTCCACCAAATGGTCCTGTTCCTAAGTATCAATTAAGGTGAATAGGAAGCTACATCTCATCCGGGTTGGAATCAGAAGTGGAGGTTTTTGCGCATTAATTTTGGCACACATTTAGATGATCACGAACAAATCTGTTCAGTAGACATTCTGTCGTCTGCCGGGAATTTCCCGCCAACCTTGAGTACAGACGTAACTGTCAATCAGGTCTATGCAAATTCACAAGACATTTGCAACCATAGTGTGTTCCAACATGACACTTTGCTACTATAAATCATGAGCCCCAGTTCAAAAAATTTAACTACGAATTAGTTAATGGATCTTTTTTAGTCAAGATAATGCCACGCAACCTATCATCGTCCACTTCATTACACAATATTATCCTATACCGTTTCCTCAGAAACTGCTATTCTCGCCCGATCAACAAATAACATGGGAAACGGTTTACCGATTACACCTCACTCTGCGTACAGCGTGCACTTGGAAGTGTCTGGCCAAAGTAATAGTGGGAATTAGTGATGTGCTGATGCGACAAATAAGCAGTGTCAACGCAAGCCCAGAGCATCTGGCTGAAAAAGTGTAACTAGGCCAGCGCTCATGGGAATGTGGAGAGACTAGTGCATAAAGCGTAACTTGCTAGCACTTGTTGCAGCATGCTGAGACTAAATAAATTTTAGTATCTTCCGTGTTTACATCGACCGTTGAGACGTCGGAACCACCTTTCGCCATGCTGTGTTTCTCAGTGTGTGAGCCACGTGGTCTTGTCTGTTGCGGGTTAAAGACTTGCGTTTGTAAATGTGCATTGTTCTGTTGAAGCACAATTCACATGCCCACGATTTTTCTCCCAAGGACTCAGACGTTTTGCCGTTTGTTCATTTGTTCTCATGTTGCTTACTGTTGTATTGCCGGCGTAGAAGCGCACAAACATGTCTACTTAGGTAGGTGCGATGAGTATGTGCAATTGCGTGCGGGCGTAGGATTGTTGGCATCTGTGTTGAAAGCAGCCTGAGAGAGACATTTTCCAGACCAGAGGGAAAGTAACACCAAAATTCCGCATCACTCTACATGTATGAGGGGAATATGCTTGAGTCGCCTGGTTACCTTTTGTTGCAGACGTAATTCCCAGTTTCACATTATTCTTTGCAACAGTCTGCTACTCGAAAGCATCGGCAAACCGAGGCTCCGAGTGGAAGACGGAGAGAATTAGAGATTTGCCAATCCAGCTATAGGCAGTCTCACAAATGACACTTGTCGTAGATGACAAACACGGTACAAAGCACATACTCGCAGGGCATTTATCTTGTATCGTTTGTTTTATGGAACCCATCTGCTTGGGAAGAAGCAGGTGACCAAATGTTCTATCAAAAGAAACGGAAACGGTGGCCAAACTGAAAAACCATACAGTAGAGTTAGGGTAACATTAACCATGGGTATTCAGTAACGGAGCTACTAGTAACGCTAATCTTAGTTCGCCATATTCCTAGGTAAACTTCTCTTGACCACGCAATGAAGTCGGACCTTGGAAACGCATTTTGGTACGGAAACTTCCCTAGTTATCGCTATTCCAACCAGGTTCTCCGTGGTGGTTCCGCTATTAGTTAGTTTATTAAAACGGAGGTTAGAACTTGGCTGATGCCATCTTTACCGTTAGTGTCCTCGAATATTGTTCAACACAGGGAGGAACCAATATATGCTCTCGGCTTATCGAGGCGTGCTTGAATTGTTGAACGAATTCACAAGGCACGGCTATCGCTCTTCTATTCACTAAAGCCTTCATATCCCCGCGGAGCGTACTAGTGATCTAATCACCAAAAAATTGGGGCGGTTCGCACAAATTGCATCACTTTATTTTACTAATTCGTATGACCAGAGCAAACCATATACACTTTAAGTTGGGTGTTTACTTTGCACTTTCCTATTTTTGGCTGTAGGACTTGATGCGTCAGCACGAACGTCTAGCCGTTAGCTGACAAGACGACTCCACATCTAAATGTAGACTTGATGCTTCTCGTTAATCATATTGCTAAAAACAGCAATCTTCATAAGCGTAGTTGTCATGTGTATGAGCAACTGTGTCCACAAATGGTGCAGTGCGATCATGCTCGATCATGTATACCACACACTACAGTTACATATTTCTGTCTATACATGTTCCGGTCACAAAACCTCGTCCAATGAACTGCGGCTGAACGAAAGTTTGCAATCTAAAAGCTCCAGTCTGGTAATTTTGGTACTTCATTTGCTTTTGCTCATTCAACACAGCCGTGTCACTGGATGTTCATGTTGGTTTACTAGATAGCTGAAAGTCGGAAACACTTGTCGATTAACAGCAGGTTTTGTTATGTGCACTTTGCTCACTGGCCTGTGTGCTCGCTTCTCGCCAACATACAGGTGATTCGTTGATGAAGGGCTTCAGCACGATGTAGGCAGTTCCGTTGTTCTGCAAATTAATGCACAATTTTGTTGCTTAGACCATGTACAGAATGACACATCATTTCGAGTGCTCTCTGACAAGCGATATGTTTGCTCTTAATCATCGGGTATATATTGGCTCATCCTGTTCACAGTGTTGGCCGTTAACCCTCCTCCACCAATGCGTCTAACAATTACGACATACTCATAAGTAGAAGATTTTGTTATAAACAACTGAGAGTTCGTCGCAGCAGATTCCAAATCAGATATTCTTCAACATGCAGAAAAAGCAATGGACTGCAGTTCAACCTATTGGTTATCATTAATAGTGCGCATCCATCGGATCCTGCAAGATTCGGACTCATGACCACCGGTGCTTTGTACCGCCAGTCAGTAGGTTAGGCTGTGATACATAGCTACTGTCAGTGGACGTCGCCTCTTTCGAGGCCAACTCTGTTCGTAAATTGCGCGGCAGTGGAGGATAAGACGTACTATATCACAGTTAGCTTGTATATCATGACGGTCCGAAGCTGTCCCCCTTACCCAGTGGCATAAGCTGCTAGCTAGAGATGCAAACCGCTGGTGGTCGCGGGTTAGAGTCCTGCAGCATCCAATGCATGTGCACTAATGATGAGGCCCAACAGGCTGAAACTGCAGTCCAGTGCTTTTCCGGGCATGTGGACGACCATCTGGTTTTAAACTAGCTGAGAAAAACTCACAATCAAATAAATAAACCTTTGTTCTGTAAGACACTGGACACCCTCATCAAGGCATGATCAGCAAATTGTGCTCGTGTACAAACTACTGAACACAGGGTGGTTAGGAAAGCAAACAGATTGCTGAACGATTCTTAGCATAACGATAGCAACGCCAGGCAAGACACTGAAAGAAAATCAAAAACATAATTTAAGGAGTGTATAATCGAAGTAACCAGAACCAAGAGCCAAAACAAATTTGAGGGAAAGTGGGAACTATGAAGGATCAATCAAAGTAGTTCGGTCATTCGTGGGGCTGTCTCTTTTGAACCTGCTTCCATGTCGGATAATCCCCCGAGTTGTTCCATCCGCAACTCCACACCCCATCTGGTCGTGTGTCAGTATGGTTTAAAAGCAGGCTAGCCACCACCAATGTCAATTATCGTTTGGGCTTCTATTTTTCGTAAGCTGGCCACCTAATCAGTCATCCCGTTCGTCATTCATCATATTTTGTTTGTGTTCGTATGGTGACCGAATTCAGCTGGATCGGCGGCAAATACCATTAGTTGTGAATTCAACGGTACAGCGTGTACTGTTTTCTTTGTGCAGTCTACATTTTTGTATTCATTAGGGGCTCTTTGGCTATCCGCCTTATGTGGGTAAACATACCGCCTGAAAACCATCATCTCCATCACCTCAGGAGAACGGTCAATTCTTGACCAACAAAGAGAAAACAAACAAAAGAATATGATGAAATAAAATAAGCGAATAGAAATAGCAATGGAATAATTAAACGAAGAACCTGTCTCGCGACAGTGCAGGACACCAACGTATTGGTTAGTGTGCTAACTTTTACCGAAATTAGCATAAACCGGTTTCGAGTTATCAATAGGCCAGATTCTCCTTTCCAAATGTACTTGAAGGTGAGAATTGTCGGTAAGCATAACCCAGCAGATGAGTGAAAGCAAAAGAAAGAGACAAGAACCAAGATAGACACGGATATTTTTTTCGGCATGTGCAAGTGTGGCTTTATGGTTGGCATTTCCAGGTAAAACGGAAGATGTGCTGAGATGAGGTGGACCTGCATTATCCGTCACATATTGTTTGGGCCCGATGCAGTTAACACATCTAGTCACCTGGAAACTGATTGCTTTCATTCTATTCAGCATACTGTGAAACGCATCCAAATTCACTCTCCTGTCCTTTACATGACAGATTGTTCCATAAGTGAACATATCATACCTGGAAAAAGATCGGCATATTTTTTTGGTTTCCCCTTCTGAGCGGGCAGTGCGGAACCCCTTTTTCTTGCGGGATAGACAAATAAACTTTAGAAGGTGAGGGCTATTCCGGTAGGGTTTATCCGACAATGAGTAAAATGGCAAAAGAGAACGATATTGTTTCTCAGTCGGGGTAGCCAAACGGTGTCTAATTGAAGGCGGTGACAACGGCCTACATAACTCATAGCAGTAGATCGTCTAATGAGCACTCGTGAATGAAAGCTGGATATTTTCTAGAGCTAATGGATCTGTCCCACGAAGAGGAGTATGGATACTTGTGCAGTATTCTAGCATAGGTTTTAATGCTTTGGGTGATGAACTTCTTCTCTATCCACACAAATTTTCACATGATTGCGCCGTAATCTCCAGCTTTGAATGACATTTACACAGAGCCCCTTGTCCGAGCACTTTAGCTCTTAATTCACAAAAGGTTAGGCTTTCTTGCAGGTGAAAGCTGTGGGCGTTCCCATTGCCTTTACGTCCGCATGAAGCTGGTGAAAATCGCTAGCGGGAAATTTCACCAAAATGGCGATAGTTCTTGTGTCATCGACGTCCTCCCGTGACACACTGGCAAGAGTGCAGATGTCATCTTACTGGCGCCCAAAACACTAACTGCGAATGGGCACGTTTGAAATTCTTAAGTGCTGATTTACTATTGGGGATGCCTTGTTAATTGGCGAATAATCATCTACTACTCGCTTGCTGCACCTGTAACCCAAAATGGAGAATCGCAGATTGTTTTGTCAACATTATTGATTTCATTGTTAATTACCCCCACTGACGACGCTGCATGAACACAATACTTCATAGTTTGATCTAGTCATATTTTTCCTTTCCCACAGAATGGAAGTCGTTCTACCTCACTTCATGGCATATCCATGGTCGCTGGAAGCCCAGTGTGCAACGACTCAGGTCTGATGAGTTCAACTTCAGGCATCGACATTCATCAGCTTCCCGGTCCATTTTGGATGCACCCAACCGTAAAAGGTCTCAGTCAGAGGGCTGTACCACCTTGCCCCACAATGAGCTCAGGGAACCCCTGCAACCCTCTGCTCGACTGTAACTTGACTGAGAATGCAGCAGGTGACACATGTTCGCTGACGGGACCAACGTGTGACGCATCGACGTCATATGTAATTGGAATGATGAGTAATTTAATCACACCATTCACCACACCCGACGGACCCACTGTACATAGCGGCCCATTAACCATGCTTCCTCCTGGGTTAGCATCGTCCAGTCTGGATACTGAGAGATCGCTATTCGGTTTGGTCGGAAAACAATCAGAAATGTCGTTGGTTTCTGATTCATTTACGGACGATGCTCCGGCATTCCAACGGCTGGTAAGTTTCCTCTCTGTGTGATGACCGATAGCACTATTGATTTTCGTCTGCGACAGTGACCACAAATAGCCCAATCGCTGCAAGATTCACCAGAGGGTGGAGTCGGATTGTACTGTTCCACTCACAGCTCTAGTAACCAGTGCAGGTAACTAGCTAGTGGCAATAAGATAGTAACCAAGGTTGGTTGGGGAACGGTGAGAACTCTAACAACAAACCCCACATTCACGAGTCGGCGACCTTGAGTCGGAGTAACACATAGTATTGGTGCTACCATTTGGAGAGCAGGTTCAACGCGTCATAAGGGCAGCCGAGTACTTGTGGGTACCTGATTCATGCTAATAAGCACTCCGCAACTGTTTGTGTGAACGTTGAAAGAGTGCTCATTCGATGAGTATAGAAGGCGGTGAGCGGTCAATAACCGGTTTCAGGATGAATGGATGGCTGGACTTAGCACCGTCACTAATAATATAAATGAATAAATAGTTGTTTATTCTCGACGAAGCTAAGCACATCAAGGCCTCTAGGTCGCGCTTCAATCAAGATTGTCAAGCTTGGATAGCGTATCAACATGCCGGCCCAGGTAGGCATTGTTCGTCATTGAGAAGATTGATAGGTCAAATCTGCCGAATGCCATTCGCAGCATGCCGACGTGGTGGTTGCTGCTTTTCGCAGATACCTCAGCCTGTTTTTTACAGTTGAGGTCGCTGTGTAAGAGCACACCAAGGTCACTTTCCTGAGATCTGGTTTGCAATCCGTTCGCCCCAAGCAAATACGTGCAGTTATATCTATGGCGTAATCGTACAACGCGACATTTGTCTATGTTGAATGGTAGGGCGTTTTGAACTGACCAGTTCGACATCGTGTTAAGATCGCACTGGAGCCGTTCGTGGTCGTCCGGTCCTCTGATCCTTCGCCATATCATGATATTATCGGTGAGAAATAGGAAATCGGAAGCTATTGATCTTGCCAAATCCTTAATGAACACCGAGAATAGACGAGGTTCAAGCACCGAGCCTTGTGGTACACCACACACCGCATCGATTGCATCGGACAATGATTCTCGGACTCTCACCACTAGCCGTCCTTCCAGCAGAAAATTGCTAATCCAACTCAGGATAGCGTCGCCAGTGCCGTATTTCCGAAGCTTCTGAAGAAGAATTCGACGGTCTAAGCGATCAAATGCTTTTGAGAAGTCCAGGCAAATGACATCGACGCCTGCTCTATCATCAACAGCTTCAGTCCAGCTATTACGTGCAATTAACAGCTTAGTAATTACAGGAACGCTTTTGACCAAGACCATGTTGCTCTAGGGTTATTTTTGTGGCTTTGCAGTTACTGCGTCAGCGCATCTGCGATGATTGATTCCATCAATTTGGATAGTACAGGAAGTAGTGTTATTAGACGCTAGTTGGTAGGGTTAGTGGATAGGAGTGATTACCTCTCGCTTCTATACCAGAAGAACATGGTTCTCTTCTAAACAATGCTGATAGAAAGCGGCCAGTGGTTCTGCTACATCACTAGCTACCGCCTGCAGAGCCTTTGGTCGGATGTTGTCGACTCCAGTAGAACTGTGGATAGGCAAGGATAACAACTTCTTCAACATAGCTTCCGCAGTGAAGATGATGTTGTCTAAACCTGACGGTAGAGTAATAGACACGAGGAGAATATTTGGGCTCGTTGCTTGCCAAAAAGTTTGGGAGTAATAAAGCGCTAGGTGATCAACTGCTTCCATTGCTGATCACGTGTACCCATCAGCCGTGAATATCACTGGAATCCCTCCGCTTCACCTTTCGAAGGCCGTTAACGTGGCTGTACAGAAGCTTGCGATTCGTGCAATATCGCTTCATTAACTCCTGCTGAGGTGTGGCCTTGTCTTCGCGGATCAGTTTCACAAAGAAGTTAAGGTGTGTCACTTATGCAGTCCAGGTTTCGGCATTCGAGCAGTCCTGGTGATCTCGCCATGTCAAATCCCTTCCGGATATACATATACGTGTTCTGCTCCTCAGAAATGCTTTTTGCTTGTTTTTGGGTTGGAAGGACTTCGTTTACGAGGCGTACGCTACCAGTGTGCTAAACGTCCTTGTAAAGGTTTTCTAGGCAACACCTGCGGGCATTCGGTTAAGAAAGTCCAAGATATATCCTTACCAAGCGTAGATAACACATTATAGTGCGTGACAGTATGCACTTTATCGTCCTTCTTTACAGGGTACCAAGCATAGCATATATAGCCGAACAATGTAGTACATGATCACTATGACCCATTAGTGTGCTTGTAACTATCCCCTCAACCATGAGTTCTTCATTAGTAAGCACCAGGTCCAGTATCGATGGTTTGTTAGCAGTTCGAAATCTGGTGGGAGAGGTCACGGGGTTGTACAGAAGGTGGCTAGCAATTAGCACTTGCAAGCAGGCTTTACACTGCGTAACACCGTCTGCTGGCTTTTCTATGAATACTGAATACTGAATACTGTATTATAGAGCAAGTAGAAATGGATTCTGTACAACTCTTTCGAAATATGGCGAAAAACGTTTTAAAAGTTGTCAACCGTGGATATCACCGTCGTTCTCATGTAATATTTAAAATATTCGACTTACGATGTTTCAGGATTCACAAATGTGATATGTCATCGTAAGTGTGCAGTCGTTCTCTGTATCGAATAGAGGCAAAATACAAATCTAACAACGTTTTGAACTGTTGCACAGATGTTGCCTCAATCACATGTGCAGGCAAACTGTTCCAAATGTTTACCACTCTCCGTTCGAAGCACAGTGGGTGAGGAACACATTTCACATCCGGCACAAGTTTGTATCTGTGTCCGCGTGTGCTGCATGGCTCTCGTAAGTGCAGCATTGACCTTAGCATGGGAACTCACCGAGATGTAGAATTTGGTAGGTCATAATGAGGTCGACTCGCACTCGACGGTAGGACAAGGTGTAGAGTCCTAGTTTCTCGCACCGGTCTTCATACCCAAAGCCACGTAAACTCGGGATGAGGCTGATAGCAACGTGTTGGACCCGTTCGATCTTTTGTGCTTCGCCTCTGGTAATCGGAAAGTAGGCGGGCGAACCGTACTCTAGCATTGGTCTAATGATAGAAGAGAACAGGCGAGTGGCAACCTCTTCAGACCATGTGCCAAAGCTACGTTTGAGCGCCCAAAGCATGCGCAGTCCGTTACGATATAGCCTGTTCGTGTTGTCCATGGACTTCAAATCATGTCATGCAGGTTAAAGTCTACATCGATAATAATGTGGGTATAGGACTTGTTCAAAGCAAACTGAAAAACGTGGTTCAGTTTGGAGTCAATTTCCGACGTTGAGTTTGGTGGGCAGTAAATCACGACTAGTAGACGTGTGCCCTTGTTTCGCAACCATAAACGACACGAAAGTGAATCAGCAGCTCGGATTTTCGGGTGATGCATAACTCCACATCAGAGGTTTGTATTACAGTATAGAATCACACCGCCACCCCTTCCGGTTCTATCGGTCCGAAGCATCGGCATACCGGGTACATTGATCACAGAATCGATTATCTCAGGGTTTAACCAGGTCTCTGTAATCATGACGAAGTCTCGCGGTTGTGAGGCATGGAGTTCTCTAAGTTCGGCCAACTTACTTAGAAGGCAATCGGCGTTTGTGTACATGCAAGATAGGATTTTTGTTGTTAGGAGTGCCTTGAAGGATGTCAACTTTGTGTTCGTTTTTAAGCCGACCGTTAGGTGGCCGACAACTAATGGTTTTTTGGTTTATGAATTTCAGGCAAGTCGCATGGCATTATTAAACCTTCCTGAACAGACGTTTCACTCGTGCTGTAATCTGTCCTGCGGTGTGCCGTGGGTGCGGTTGTGTCGGTTTCTCCGCAGGACTGTGCAGATAAAGAATTTGCAGCGTTTGCATGTTCCATCGAATCGATTACAACTTTTGGCCGTTTGCCTGCCGCCTTTTGAGGGGTCTCTGTTGACGACCTGGCTCAAAACTTTGAGCAGCTATTCAACAGAAATTGCGCCATTCCTTTGGAGTGTAATATTACTTTCATTAGTCCTGGACCGCAGCCCTTGTAGTTAGGTGATGACGGGGATCACGTCAATGATTTGGAAATAACATTGTCAAGGGAGAATGCTTCGCGGATGCAGCAACACTGTTCTCGATCTTGTGTTTACACGTCGTGATCAGAAGAATGCAGAAGTTTACCGAAAAGAATTCTTTACCCTGAACTGATTTCTACAATGGATTCCTCTTAGTGAAATGGGAATATTCGCTTTGCTGAAGTTATGTATCAGCTGTGATTCACTGAATTATGTTTTGCTTGAGATCACCATTAGGAATGCCGCGTTGGTCACCTGCAAACTTTTGGGCGACCTTTCCAAGGGAGATCGGTTAATATGCACTTTCCGCCCGGTGAGTTGCGAAGACGAACTGCTGAGAGCAGAACAGCCTCTGTCTCATCTGCTGAGTTTAGGGTTACTCGAAGCATTCGAGGTCCACCAGAGTGCACTGAGGTCGGGTGACGCACTACGCATTGCAGCATTGCAGGCTCAACTCGAATACCAATCGCATCGCAGATGGAACTCCACTGGTTGCGATCGTTTTACAACTTGCCTTATTATTGTGTCAGATTTGGACTCGGGTACATTCGTACACACGGAAGAATGCAACGTGGTTTTGTCTACCGAGTGTCCGCTTTATAGTTTTTGCAGGCAATTTGAGCTGTTTAGAAGGCACCACTGTGGTTGACGGTGAAACCTGCTTTGCTCCACATGTGCTCGGAACAGAACATTGACCTACGTGTGTCGCTGCCGGTGTGTTTGTCAAGGCAATCGATGCGTACGTTACCTGATTGTTATCTGCACCGAATTTCCTTCTACTCTGAGCTACCGGTGTCATGGCTGAATCTCCAGGTGAAGCGACTATGGTTGGAGAAGTGGAAGCAGGCATGTTTGAGGCTTGTCCAATTATGCGAGTGAGATGACTCAGTGTATTTACAGACATAGAGGGTGCAGTGCGGTGGGAGCGTCTAGCTCTCTTCGGCTTAGATTCAGAGGTTACTTTGGCTGCTTGAGTTATTATCGTGGCCATATTTACCTCCGTGAGATTGAGCTTAGCAGTTACAAAAGGCGCGAGTATCTCAGTTATCCCATCGCAGTTTTTCATGAGCAAAGATAAACAGTTAACAACTGGAATGACTTGACAGGTTGGGCGAAACCAAATTGTGTCAGCAACCATTTTTGTCTGTCTCACTGCTTGGACTAATTTGCCTACACATTGCCGACAGTACAATCTAACGCAGCTAGAACAGGTTACTCCGATCTTAAGGAAATTACTGCAATCGTCTGCTGAACATAGGTGACGTTGAACCATTGGAATGCAACTCGTCCTCTTATCGTTTGCAGCAAAGCCTAGCTGAGCGCTCATGTTGATGAGTGTTCTTGGCGCCAGGCGTGAGGCACAATCACGTCAAAACACGCACACGAATTGAGAGTTGTTCAGCCGCACAAAGGTCAGGTGGTCGAGACAGATGGAGGTCGTAACGCGCCGACTGACGGGTTCAACGAACAAGCAACTCGCAGTTGAACACACACACCTACACAAAGCGACAGAGTGTATCAATCGACCTGCCTTAAGCGACGATGCAGGTGGAGCGCTCATAAGCGTCCCTAGAGCTGTTCAGTGGATGAGCGAAACCAAATGACTATAACTTTGTTATGCTACAACTTGCGCGGATGGTTGCCGCGTAGTTGGGGAGCCCTCCGCTTCCTCTTCCGAATGAGACCAAAATCGTTCCCGAAAAAGCGGTTTGGTGTAGTTACACACATAGAACTCGACAAAGAATATGCCGAAACCTGGGAATTGGAGCAAGAGTATAATCCACACAGGTTAGATTCAAGAGTTGGGAAGCACTGAGTAGAGCTCGTCGAACTGATTCGAACGAGCGCACACACAATGTTGCGTGGGGAGAATTAGAGTGGCCCCAGAGGGAAAAGCGAAAGCCGAGTTAAAATGCGGCCGCACAGCCCGTGGTGATAATCGCATGATCTACGATTGTGAATGCTAAAACAAGCATGAAAAACTGATGAATATAAGTGAACAATCCGGGAAGCACACGCAATGGAAATAGTAAAATCACAGGAACTGGAAGTGATACCGAGATTCTTCTAGTGAAAGAAACCCAGCTTATTTGATGTTCACCTCATTTTGCTTGGTTAAATAATGATTAGTTAACCTAGACCTAGTCAAATACTGAGCTCCAATAGATGAAATAGTTGCTGCCGATGGATAGTGCTTATGAGGAGAGACATACTACTATCTAAGCTGATGACAAAGAGAAGGCATAAGATAGACGGACTCGTTCGTTTTCGTAATTCACTGCTCAAAACAAGAGGAAAGCTCTCGTTAAAGTTGCACGAACAATGGTTCGATAAGGGATTGTGTCCAGTCAGACGAAGCATACACATATACCACTGCTAAATATAGAGGTGAAATCACATCAGGGGTTCATGCAACCTTGTTGAAGTATCAAGCAACTAGTATGCACCGTCCGTTCAACATTACGCGAAAAATGTTAGGTGGGAGGCATAAACTCCAAATGACAGAAATATCTGTCGAGAATAACAACCCACAGTTTGTGATAACCACAAGCGATCAAATTGCTTATGATTATTGTGTGAGTTTTAAGACTACAGTGAGAAAATCAATACAGTAGGTACCCGGCATCCTGTCACTGACAAGCACCTCACACACGGCCTTGCAAGACCGCCAAATGCCTTCGAAACCGAGGAGGATCTTACCACCGAAGGAAAAGACGCTGAGTTAACCGCACTTCTGTATAGATAAACACCGCGCTTTAGACGGCTTTGCCTAAGATGCAGATGGGGAACAGTAGTCATAAACCGCGTATCTATCAAGGTCAGGTTAAGGACACTAGGAGCAGCAATGCTTGGAGTTACTAATAAGAAACGGTTTCCTCAAACATTTCGGCCTACGATGGTAAAGCTGCCATGTAGAAACAAAGATGTGCTTAGGTTTCCAGGTCACACAATACGTAGGTAACAGGAAATTTTGACCACTGACCATCGATTGCTGAGTAGTAGGAAAAGTAAACTGGAGGGCAAGTTTCTTTTAGTACTTCTGCATCTAGAAAGCATAATGATGCGCATTCAATAATCCGGATTGACCTTTCACCGTGTGTTGAGTGGGCGGAAAACATCCAGCGCGACAGCAGCTTTAGCAGCAGTAGATTGAGGCCGGTTTCCGAAGGCATGACGGGGTCGTCCTTGTCACCCATAAGTCTCCGATTTGAATCGGCGTATGTTAGCGCTACCTGGCAGTATGGCTTGCGTGCACTGGACCGTTAGTGATCGCGTGGCAATGAATCATTAGTGAAATGCACCTGCGTAATGCTGATGTCTTGCTCTACTTTGCGGTGCAATTCTCCGAAAATGAAGCTTGAATGGCATACGAATTACCAAGCGAGTACGGCATTCAATTTTTGAGAATGTGATTATTTAGAACACATGAAAGCAAACGGGTAGTTGCGTATGTTTGATGCGAGTACGACTTAGATGATGTGGTTTCGAAAGAAATTAAATCCGCTTGTGGAAGCAACTAAAGGTATAACAGACTGTACACCCTTCCTTGGGATCATGACTGAAGGTTTCACCGCACTCAAATATCTCACGCCTATCGTAAGGGAAGTTAGGTTAGTCAGGTATTTAGAGTGGATGTTTCAAATTTTAGTATTAGTACGTGCAGTGTGATGAGGTGTACCCGATGCGAAGTGTTTACTCTCCGGTATACTATGTTGTTTGGCCTAGATCCGCAGGTTTATGCACAGGCAGCCACTCCCATGATCTACGCTACCCCACCGACCACTGTTAATTACGTTAATGCATTTGGGCCAAAACTGAATGGGCCTCGTCCACTCATGGAGAAGGCAACCGGGCCGCACACACACTGAGCTAGAAACCAAGCAACACAGAGCAAACTGTGATTGATGGCAACGGTGGGATTGACAGGAATGAGCGCACCGATGTGCATTGGTGACGAGTTGTAACACAGACGGAATTCATGCAAGCAGCAGCATGTGTTTGTGTGCGATGAAGTGTGTGAATAGGGTCGCAAAAGGGCGAATGAGCTTGAGTCCATTAGTGGCCGTGTACACAGGGAGTATCGATGATATACAGACGATGTGTATGCCCGTGTGCTTCTGTGTTCACCTGGTTAAGCATCCATGTGCCATAACCCGTGTTAAAACGTTATAGAATATCATTAATCTGGTTCAGTTTCCCTGCCCACATGTTGTAACTCCCATGTTGTTTCAGAATACATCCACGCATTTCCGCACACAGTCTTCGAGGCTCGTATAAAGCAAACGGAAGTTGATTCAAAGAATTTAACTTGATGTTCTTCGCCTCTCTTTATTTTTCCCAGGTCTCCTGCTTTGATGCAAGTGAAGGTGTGCTGACATCTATTCCTGATCAAAGTGTTGCGCAGGCGGCCAAGCGACTGGCTAACAGACAACTCTCCAACGGATTCCATGGTGTCTTGTATGCGGCTGGAGTTAGTACACAAATGCCTCCAAATATTTTTATCCCACCGCGTTTAGAAGGAGACAAGGTTAGACTGTGGACTCCGTCCAGAGAACCTAATATGTCTGCAAAACTCTCCCCATCACCCCAAAATGACCTGCCTGCTTTCAGCGCAGCAAACGCACACTCGCAACCGAAAGCTTCGATGGTGTCTCCCAGTTCATCCACAACGCCGGCAAACCTGTTGCCGTCACCTTCCACACCCCAAACGTCAAACTTCAGCGTTGGTACCTACTTGCATGGGCAGGTCCCTCAGCTTCAGTTGGGTCCACAGTCCAGAACTTCTCTATCAACCTGAATTTCGGCACTACACGAAGTCGAAACCTGCGTTTGAACGGCCACGGAAGGAATTGTGATATTTTGGGCGGTGTTGCTAAAGTTCGTAAAGTTGATCGGATGCAAACCATCGAAGTGAACTGTTCTTCCATCATGTCATCTTTTTTACACTGTGCTTTCTGTTTTACATAATTTCCGATTATTTATTTACAAGTGCCTATCGTCCCAACGAATTCGAGCACTCGTGCTCGGAGTGAAGTTGTACAGACCGCGAATAAACACATTTGGTTTTCTTCGAACCATTGGCCATTACTTCAGCAACGTTACCGGAAGCAGAATGGCTTTCAAGCGAGAGGTTTAGTGATATTAATTTCATCTATCAGCAATCAGGGATACCGATCCAACCGTTGGCTATGTCAGCTTCCCCGAGTGATATTCTAAGCAGGATCTCGTGATCTATTGTGTTTCAGGTGTCATCTGGCCGAATTCTCCTGGCACAACGGTTTGTTGCATTTATCGATGTTATAGGTGGTGAAATACGCAAGAAAAAGAAAATACGGCTACTACCATAGCTGAGGCTTTAAACACAATTATTCAAATTTAGCACCGGTAAATCACACAGCTTGCTTTGGTTAACACACTTCCGCTCTCGTTCAGCAACATGCTGCAAAAACGCTTTGGAAGAGGATAGGTACATGTCATCAAGGAGTCAATCGTGTTCTGAGTTGAACTTTACGCGCATGTTATGTGTAAAAGGAAATGAACGCAAAAATCAACATCACTGTGGGGAAATAAGTAGTCAGGTTGGTTTGCTAGTTAACTGTCCCCGTAAGCGAGTGGTCTCCTTTAAGCATGAAATCTCGCAGCTGGGCGCAGTCAACTACATATAGGCGCACATCATTATTCTGAGAACACAGTCAGGCGAAATGTCAGACAGAAACCATCGGCGTGTACCCAAATTCAGGGTGTCAGTGATTGGAGCACACCGCTGGTATTGTGTGAAGATGGAACTTGTGAGTTTTTACCATACTATGCGCTTCGTAACAGTATTCAATACACATTGCCACGCTGAAACAAAGCAACTCTATCTCAATTCCGTACGCAACTAATAAATTACTATTCCACTCTACACAGGTTTGCTGTTTTACCTAACGACAGAGTTGTTTTGACGATAGTGGCTGTCGCAGTTTCCACTCCCGTGAACCCTGCATGCTTACGTTCATCTCCATCGCAGTAACATCCCACAGAGCTCGTGCGACTGCGGTACCATTAGGTTTCGCAAGTGAATCACCCTACCTTAATCACTCTTATCATCTAACGTGACCTGGTCTCCCCGGTACAACTGGCCGGTCGCACCGTAACTGCAATACCAACACACATATTCAGAAAGACCACGTTTGCTGGACTCGTGGACTGTGACAGCCACGCACTAACCTCTTGGTCTTTAGTTGAGTTCGTAAAGTCACCACCAAATAAGTGGTTCGAGGTAAAAATGTATGACACACTAAGCAAGCAAGACTTTCAGGGAACTCCGGTGAACTAATTTGCGAGTTCAGAGGAAGGTCTACAAATTCATTTAAAGAGGTTAACTAGATCCCAGTCTGTACTTTGAAAAGGCACTGTTATGGATCACATAACTTAGCACGCGCGCTCCCCACAGATAAGCCTATTGGTACCATTGGTGGTGGCGATGGTTGGATTAGAAAACTGGACGGATCAGCTGAAAGCGATTGCTAAGAAGCGGAAGATATATACTCTTCCTAACAGAAATGTACTCAGGTGCGTAATCTTGATAACTATTTTCCTGCCATCTGAATGTCATAGGAAATGCGGGGACTAAAGATGTTTATTTGCGTGAACTGTTTTGACGACGCATTTCCCGGGTTCATTACCAGCGCAGCAAACATAAAAACAAAGCTTTTCCCGTCGATTTGTAGTAACTGTGGCCCAATCTACTCATGCTTTGTGGTGCCGAAATTCCCATAAAGGCCCAGATGTTGGACCGGCCTACAGAGCAAGGGGAGACAAGATTTATGGAGTCAGCAAAACCATGTCTTTTATAACCTAACTCGGTTTGAAATAAGACAGAACGGTCCATTTATGAAACACACTGAGTTGGATTACAGTGTAAAATATTCCAAAGACTACACAATGACAACAGTGGTGTTGACTAGTAATTGTGAATTTCCATATCATTAGGATGAACCAGCGGAACTTGTTTGCAAGCCCCAACGACAGTAATGATATTCGTTGAATATACCGTTCATCTAATCTTGCTTTAAGATATGGTTTACACTTCCTCATACCTCTCCGTCTGTATTACATTCTAAATTAAAGTGGGCTGCTGCAAACGAGAAAAGAATCGTTGGTTTAGTCATATCTATATCTTGGGAACTGAGTGTAACCGTAAGCGCCGCATAGCTGCTTCTAAATATGTGGACAAGTTTTTAACACTAGGTGGTGGTGAGAAGTGACTCAGCCAATGTGCTGCAACAAAATGCAGTAAGGTATCCGCAAAGTGGAAATGTAAAATAGTAGCTAGTGCAGAATACAAACACGAAACAATAAATCCTATGCCTTTTGTTTATTCTGCATCTACTTTGAGGTGGCTTTTGGAGGGAGAGACTAGGCGAGATGAGGAGGGACAAATGTAGACGCATTGCGTCGCCGTGTGACTAGTTCGCATAGTAAGTTCGACAATCAAATTAAATTTCCAGCTGGTCGCACATGACAGATGGAACACACTGTGCAGCTATCACTGTGACCATGGTACTACTTCTCTGTTTCATTAACAGTGACGCACCAAATCAAAAGGTTAAATAAAGTTTGAAAAGCAGTTGAACGTTTGCATAACGAACCACAGTTTTGTGAACAATCACAATTAATTGGGTGCATATAACAAAGTTATATCTCGGGAACCAGCAGTTAATCTGTCGACTCCATATCATACCACTTGTGAAATCAATCATGTGGTTTCGAGCAAGTGTAAGCGTTTTCATAGTGAGTGCCTCGTCAGCGACGCCGATTAGTCCGAACGGGTACTTAGCTGTTTTGTTGGGCTGAAAATGTTCGGAATACGAGGAAGCTGGGTGGGCGACCGGCAATATCTTTTGTAGGCGGACCCTGGTGTAATACCACAAAATAGCGCATCGGGTTCAGCGTCAGACTTTCGCCCGAGGTACTAATCAAAACAAGCAATTTGTTTTAATTCAATTTGCCATGATCACGAGAAATACACACACACACACACACACACACACACGGATGCAAGCATCGCCTTGTTTACGGTTGAGATATTTGTAGAGTGCTGCGACCAACGTAAGTGTTTTCTTTCAAGCACCACTTCAACGTTTCGGGTTGCATAATTAGAAACAAATTAGACAAATCGAACACACCCCATCCTCGTGCATATGTGCATGACCCTGGGCTAGCGAAGTCTGGTCTGTCAGAGACTGACAACGTTCGCAAAATGTATGGTTGTTGTGACCCGCCCTAATCGCGGTATTTCGCTGGGTTTGCGAGAGTATCTAATCAACCTTCGCTATTCTAATTCACTCCACTTGCCTAAGAAAAGCTAAGGACATATTTTAACTAACTTATTAAGTAACGGACTTTTGCAGCTCTGAAATTAAGCCCCGTCTCCTCTAGTTAACCGTCTTGTGATGCAGGATAAGATTAGTGCAATTGTCTCCAGAAAGTTCTTGACTGAGGTCGCGACCGGTTACTTTTGTGCTACTAAATGGTATTCAAGTTTTACACAAGCGACAGTCGGGCAAACTAAATCAACAAACCATGTTCGCATTCGGAAAACAGGTTATATATTAGTGTTTGTCGTTGCGGATTTTCTAGCATCCTGACCTACAGAATGAGCTCATTTGGTTCAGGTGGTGATATTCACTTTCTATGGAGAAAGTGTGCCGTTGACCAAATAAAGGCGAAGCGGACAGAAACCTGTGGAACTAGAGGCGAGTCGCTAATGTCGTGTTGTGCTATTCGTGGTCGAATACTATTCCCAATTCAGAAGCCTTCGAACACACACAAGCGAGTATCTCTCATTGGAAGAGCAGTTTCACTAGCATCTCCACTAATATAGCGTGTTCATTCCAAATCAAAGTAAATACATTAACACAATCTCCTCCCAAGATGGCGGTAAAGTTTATGCGAACAACAGCTAGCGGCAAACGCTCCCGAAGCTTTACCCAGTACTTGTTCATCTCCATTGTGCTAGGCGTCATCAAAAGTTGTTGGTACGAGACAAGCAAACGAGATACGAAATAAAGCTTAAGGTTATGCAGTGGAATTCATTAAATCTGGACAGCAGCCATGCACTCGAAGTGCTTTAGATAAATATTTCCACCTTTTGTTGTTCACAATGGGTTCTTGAGAGGACAAAAGCAAGGCGGCTGTAAAGTTGTATTAACCTGCAAACACAGTTGGCACCTATCCATTCCCGAATTCTGGGCTAGTTGAGAAGCAGCCAGAATTTTATTCGTAACAGCGTACACGTCACACGTCACATTTACTAACGTTTGTGCAATTCAGGCAATTATTGAAACATTTACATTGCTTGTTGTGCATGTAGCCTCAGCCACCCTTTTGTTCGGGTAGACCCCACTTTTTATAAGGTCGACCAGAGTGGCTGCATATACCGCGGACCCCTACATTTGCAACACGATTCGCAGGACCTGGGGAGACCAGCCCATCTCTACCCGCAACACTAAACTCTTACTAATTTTCTGTTGGTGAGGTTTATATGCGTTTTAAGCAGCAAACCCTTTCCATGGCCAGGAGGTGCCAAATTTGGTTACCAGTGTACCCTTAAAACGATGCCACACAAATGCCAAGGAAGGAGTCTATGTTATATTTGGTCAAAAACCGCTGTTTTATCTTGAGCCAGCCTCAGAAGTTACCCGTGATTGTGAAGATAATAGTGCGCCTCCCTAGGCGGCGGCGAAATATCATTACCATATATGGAATGTTAAATTTCCACTTATATCAACGGAACCGAAAATTCCACTTAAAGTACGGACTGTGTAGCTCTTACGGGATCGTGACCTTCTGCCGCCAAGCGGCTTGTAAGAACTGTTGAGACAGGTAATCGGGAGCTGTTAAATTGTTCATGGGGTTGACGACCAGACTGCATTACAAATGCGGCCACCTGACCTTGTTCGCAAGATGGTTTACATATAGGAGAAAATAGACGAGACTGGGCCAGTTGATCAAGCCTAAGAAACAACTAATTCCTGAAGGAAATGCCAAGGAATGTGTGACTTTATGACAACTGTAATTCCTAAAAG